TTTTACAATAATAAAATTTATTATATTAATTGTCTCAAACAACTTCAAGAAAAGCAAAATCAAAATATTTTATCTACTAAAACTACTAACTCTCTTAATATACTATTTTCTCTCACATCAATCTCTAATAATATACAAACAATAAAGATAAAACAGATAAATTAATAACCTTTTTAACTTTTAATATAAAACAAACAATCTAAATATTCTTTTTTTCTTCTATACAAACAACTTAAATAATTAGCAAACAACTTCAAATAATCAACAAATTAACAAACAATCAAACTAACTAATGTCAAGTTTAAACTAAATCTAACTTTGATTGAATTGCAAACTACTCAATTACAGATACAATAAAGCTTAACAAAAGACTCCAAACAATACTTTTTTATCAACTACTTATTTTTTTTAAAAAATTCTTATATAACTTCTACTTGAGTAAAAAAATTAAACTAGCAAGAGTAAATTAACAAAGCCATATAGTTAAACTTGCAATGAAAACAAACTTTTAATATCTTATTTATATTATGGTTACAGATAAATCTAAATTCCTTACTGATCTTATTTATAAAGAAAACCTAGAAATAATATCAATACTTTAATTTTATTTATATTTTTAGAATTATCTCTTAAAAACTTTATTTATAAATTTACTACTATACTTTTTATCAAATTTAATTACAAAAAAAATTTGTATTAGCTATTTTTATTCTATTATACAAAATTAAAAACAGACTTCAGATGTGGTTTAATCTAGTATATTTATATCTCTATCAAACAATTATCAAACTATTAACTATAACAAATTTGCTGAAGACTTTAACTTTAAATCTAAACACTTTAAAGTTATATTTAAAATTTAATCAACAGATAATAATAAACTAATTTTTCATTTAAAGCAGACCAAAAATTAAATATTACTATATTCTTCAATTTTCTTAAAACCAACTTTCTTGAAAAATTCAATATTTTCTCACTTAATGATTTTTTACTAATTTAAACAGATGGTTTGAATCTGTATTTACTACATATTGCTAACAATTTTTCACAACACCAAATAAAGAAGAAATATATAAATGTATTAAATCACAAATTCATAAAGAACTTGTCTTCAATTTAATAAAAATTCTTTCAAAAAAATTTAATTTAGCAAACATGAAACTATATATGAACACAAACTCCTTTTATCTAAATTTATTTTTTTTTTTATAATTTGGCAATCCTGCCACTTTTTATTTGCAGATTAAACTAAATTAAGAAATTTATATTCCCTAATAATAGCTATGCTAATCCATTTGAAAAGTAGCTTATTTATGCTTTCGCCAGATATGACTTGCCTCAATGGACTTCAAGCCTTTCTCTGGACCCTAACTCACTAGAGATTATCCTTTAGTCATAAGCTGGTACCACATACCATATCAAAGTTAGCTTTTCTTTTAACAAAAAAAAAAAAAAAATAAATACAAAGAGTATAACAAAAATGTGAAAATACTAGGTGTCAAGTTCTGGTCCATCTAAACTAATAAAACCAAATAAAACAAATAACGAAAAAAAAAAAAAAAACCAAAGATAGCACTATTAAACCCATGCTGGATTGTAAAAATTATATAGTACTACAAATAATCTAGACTAAAACTCTATGCTAGTTATTTATATCTATATCCAGGATGTAAAAATATCAAAAACCATCCGATCTTGAAGTAGAGCTCCAAGGGTTGAAACTTCAAAATGCTATTCCAAACCGTCGACAAGCCTTCTGCAATATTTCAACCTATAACTTCCTAGGCAAAGTTTGCGAGCTGTTGTCCGTCAACTCACATCAGTGAATCAGGCACTCTCAGTATAACTACTGTAACCTCTTGAGGAAAAAGTATCTAATACTACAACTTAAAGCATACACGTACACATATATGTATATTTTCTTTTTTGGCAGTGATTATTGTTATCGATCCTTTGATGAAGGTATGCTGTTTTTCCCACTTTTTGAAAAAATTTCGCAAAGACCAAGAGAGTGGGGTATAGAAGAAAGTTTCGGTTTGCAGGTAATCTTAAACTTTGATAAGGAGTGTGTTGAAAACTCGCTTGTTGTTCTCTTTAGACCAACTATCTTTAACTTCGTCAACAGAAGCAAAGCTTCTATTAAAATTTTTTGTACAAAGGCACCACATTCTTGCCAGTTATCTTGTATAAAAACGCTTTTAACTTGCATGCCAAATATACAAAGGAGTTCGGAAAAAGAACACGACAAGCCTTGACCTTTGTAAAAACCATTATTGTAGTTGTCTCTTCTACTTTTCTTCAACAAGTTTCTGTTTTCATTAGCCATAAGTTTGGTACAAGTAATCATTGGGGAGAGTTAATAATAATGTTTATCCAAATTTACTAATTTCTATACTTTTATCTATACTGATAAAAACTGTAATTATAAAAAGAAAAAAAACTACTTATATGATAAAGAATCATTATATAAAGCAACTCTAGAACTATTATATAAAATATATCCAAACAAGCTTCAGAAAACAAATCAACTTTAAAAATACCTTCTCTTAACATTTCAATTTTTTATATAGATGACAAATATAAAGTAATATATACCAAATCTATATCTACCAAAATCATAGACCAACTTGCAACAAAAATTAAAGAACAAATCTGCAAACTAAATATAACCAACATTAATCTCAAAAGAAGAGGTTTTCTCTTTTACCAATATCTAACTAAATACCAAAAACATTTTTCATTGGACCACAGAAGGCGGTTTCCTAATTAAAATTTAGAGCTATTCTTGTTTTTTGCTTCGTTTCGATTCTCACGTTACACCTGATCCTAAAATTCGATTGGTCGTTATTACAAGGGGTGGAAAAAATTTTGTGGGACAGCTAGGGGCTTTGTCATATACAGTCAAACCTCCCTATCTAAGTGCACGGATTAAGTAAATTCTCTCTAAATGCACGGTATAGTCTGGTCCCAGCTTATAGGAACCCTATATAATTTGCTCTCTATAAATGCACACCTTCTTTAAGTGCACTCTTTTCATTTTTTTTCCTATGGTCCCGAGGGGGTGCACTTAGAGAGGTCTGACTGTAGTAAATTCTAATAATAAAGATTTTTTATAGATCAACGATGATAATAGTAAAATATATAATAAACTTCAAGCTGCAATAACTCACGAACCAGCAAACCCACTCAAATAAAATTGCATTTGTCGGGCTCGTTTTAACATGCTCTTAAAGTAATAACTCCTTTTTTGTTATTTTCATTATCTGGAGTGTATCAATTTCTATGCAAAGTTCTCGCTCGCTCTTGATGTAGCACAACAGATCTCTTATAACGGGTTTTAGTTTTAAGTGTTAGACAAAAATGTCGAATAATTTGTAAGAAAACAAAAACAAGAGCGTTGTTACGTTAAAGAGCATGTTTAAACGAACCCACAATGTAATTTTATTTGTGTGGATTTGCTGGTTCAGAAGTTATTGTGACTTGAATTTTATTATATATTTTACTATCACCAACGTTGATCTATAAAAAATGTCGGGGATGATGCTGAAACAAGATGATGCTGAAACGTGGGGGTCTCAATTTAGAAATATAAACCCACTAAAATCCACCTATACCTTTTTATTATAAACACTAGCCCTAAACCCTAACTTAACTACAAAAAAAAAGCTAAAAAAAACATTACCCCAAAAATTTAAAATTTCATATTAAAATAAGTCAATGTTTCAGCATCATCCCTGACAAAAAATTTTAATTATTAGAATTTGCTTTATGTTTGTAATTAGACCGATACGTAGTATACACCCAATGACGATCTTTCATAATAAAGTGGTTATGCCTTTTAGCCAAAGGGCATGCCTTCTAACTCTGTCAATTTCAAAACGAAAACCTGAAAAATACAATAAACGGCAGTCTAAAACTACCTCGGGTGGGTTAATTAAAAATATCGGGAAGGCAATTTTGCTTATATATAACTACCTAAAACCTAACCTAACCCTAATATAAGATGACCCTAACCCTAAAGTTAATTCAATAAAATATATTATAAGAATCCGCTCCGCTTTAGACGTCCCCCAAATTTGAAAAAACACCAGACTGAATTCTGTTCATTGTTGTGTCCATAAGTATTTGAAGTGAAGCTTTCCCCGAATATAGATTATGCACGTGCAGAGGACACTTAACATACTACTGCACTAAGTCCCAGGTTTGTGACTACATTTAGGGTGTATATATTTGAGAGTGTACACTTAAGAAGGTTTGATTTTATAACTGAAAAAAAAATGGTAAAAAATACCAAAATTCCAATCAATCTAGTCACGAGATTACCCAACATTATTAATGAATATTCTATACACTATATTCTCACAATTAAATGATTTGCTGTTGGATTTATTAATTTCGCTTTTACTTACTATTGGTTTCACTATGAAATATAATCGCAATCAATATGTTAATGTCAGGTTAACTAAATGCATAGATTAACTTTGGAAAATAAATAATAAACTTTGACGATTGCTATTTGTACACCATGTGTATATACACACATATATTGATATCTCGAAATTTTGATTATAAAACCCCTTCGGGGGTTCTAACAAAAAAGATTCCTTGCAAAATTTTAGTATAAGCTATAACCTCCTCCAACCCTAAAGCTACCCTCACCCTAACCTTAAACTATACTAATTTTTCGTTTACAATTTATATATTAAATTCGTAAATCAATAAATTAGTATGTGTGTATATACACCTGGTGTAAATTAAGTAATTTTCATAAACTTTTATTATTTAAGCCTAATATATACACTGAACAAGAAAGCTTCCAAAATAATAATGAATAGTACATTTTATAGGAAATCTTAGGGTGCAATAAATATCTACTTAAAAATACATGCTCTAATTATGGAAACTCATAAATAAAAAGACCTAATTAGAAGTTTAAGTCAAAGATCAAAAAAACATTAGCTTTATACCTTTGGTCGACGAAAACCCGTAAGATGCCTATGTCAACTCAATACCGCTAAATCGATTTCCTTGTTTCATGGTCGCAATGTCCAAGATAGCGTCTTGAATATTATTATAATGAATAAATGAGACAGGATACAATCATGAATATCAATTTCGCAAAAAGAACTCTACCTTTGATTCTTGAAGGATCGCTACTACTAGATTCAGCGCAAAACTGATAAAAGAATGTTTGTTAATCAGACAAAATATAAATCTGATACTAATATTATTGGTTAAAAAGAAACTTACCACATCAAAATCTCTTTTCAAATCAATTCCAACGTTGCCAGAAGTGATGTAGATAACCGCCGTGGCCAGTTCATCAGAACTATATGTCATTGCTATGCGAGTAGAATAAAGGCAGTTGATAATCATTGTCCAAACATTTTGCACAAACTTATTGAACAATGGGTTTGCATTTGGATCGAATTCATCTTTTAAGGTATGAATTACACGCGATGCTGAGTCAATAGGCGTCTTATTGAGTGACTTCCGACCAATTGCGTTTTTGACGTTAGACATCATGATCTTAACGGTTTTCTTTAGTTTGTCACAATCATCCAGAGGAACATTCGGGTATTTTAATCTATATAATTATAATAAAAATAAACATGTAAAAATTATAGAGGCTCAATCGTTAGATCCTTTGAGACGTGTACCTCCAACCAAGATTCGTAGCTTTTCGAATTCCTTTGAAATACTTGGTGTTTTCAATTTCAATCAATATACAGGAGATTCCCAAAAGTTCGTCATCGAATCCAAATTCGTCTATAAATTGTTCATGCCAGTTGATTTCGCGTTTACTATTGTATTCATGATATTTATGATAAGATTTTAACACGGCCGCGACAATTGTCATCGGTAATTGCAGACGAATACAGCATTTCAAAATAAAATCGATAAGATCAACTCTTGCATCACTAATGATAGCTTTATGAATTAAGGGAGTTCGCAAGCTAGATTCATAGGCGGACTTAGGAGTTTGGAACAATAATCTCGGCTTTGTGTCTGTTCTTTTTACTGTTTCATTGCCTCTTGCAATTTCAGAGATATTAAAGCTAGTAGTCGGTTTTTGATCAACCCCTTCGAATTTTTTAGATGTTTCTTTATGCTGAGACGGCATATAATATGTGATATTTCTATCTGCATGATATTTTTTTCTATAGTAAGGTCGCACAAATGAATTTTTTCCTAAGAACGAAGATTGATCTTGAAAGATTAATATCAAAATCACAGAATAATATCAATTATTATGATCCACGTTATATAGAGGAACGCTAATAGGTCCTCTATGATCTGACCGAGTCCTTTGATCCTTAAATCATAGAATGTATGATAGGACCATAATCCATAATTTGGCATGAATCCTAATATACTAATGTTTTCTTTATAGCACAAAACCTGTAATTCTAATAATTACAATTTTGGGACTCGGTCTCATATAGTATGTTTCACAAATACTGACAATTGACAAATGATCGTTGATTAATTTTATCAGTTGTCTCTGAATTTATGAAAATGGCTGCGATGGTTCATTAAACCTTATCAAGGTTATACTTTTGACATTTCCAGTTATAGTCAACACTCTCTAAGTGCAAGTCTTATTAAAACCCTTTAAATGTAAACTATTTTTTGACCCAAAAAGTTATATATTTTTACTCTAAACAAAGGCTTCCCAAGTGATGGGTTTTAAGTGTTTTTTTTTTATATATGTCACATCACAATGCATTTAGAGAAAATTGATTGTATATTGGTGTAATGATAGCATTAAGAAATTCATGATATTTAAAGAAATCATCTCAGATACTCAAATCTTGGCACATTACAAAGTTAAGAATTACCTGTATTTGAATCTTGCAAATCTGTATTCGTCATACCTGTACCATCTTTTAAATAATTGAATTTGTAGCTATTTATAATATTTTTTGAATTCCGAGAAGTTGGAATATGATAAACTTTATTGAGATTAGGGATGGTATGCCGCTGAACATTATGGTATGAAAGGATTCTTGTTCTTGTTCTTGGCGATGATACAAAGGTTCGCTTTTCTGAATTTCGAACAGGAGACCTTGATTTTCTTGATGGGGAATCATTTCTCAAACTTTGAATGGGAGATCTAGATCTTGATCTTTGTGGTGAAAAACTATGCCTTGACCTTTGTGATGGAGAACTGCTTAATCTTCGTGATGATAAAGAATTACAACTTGACTTTTGAGGCGAACTATGTTTTGATCTTCGTGATGATAGAGAATCGCTCCTTGATCTTCGTGATGATAGAGAATTGCTCGATTTTAGTGACGATAGAGAACTACATCTTGATAATTGTGATG